AGGTGGCCTTGATGATGATGCAGCAGCTCTTTATACCACACCAGCCTCCATCAGTAGCAGACATGAGTTTTTTTCCCCCCAGAGTTGCCAACCCAACACCACACACACATGCACACACATGCACACACACACCCCACACACACACATACACACACAATCACACAGACACACACACACACACACACACACACACACACACACACACACATGCTTTCCTCTGGTCCCTATGCTGCCTTTGGATTGCCACAATTTCCATGATTCCTTGGGCCTGGGAAGATGTGGCAAGGCCCCTTATGGACATCCTCTTCCCTCTATCTGTTTCCAGCATCCCAGGTACAAAGTCCTGAAAAATCCATGCTCTTTTCATACTTCAGCACCTCTGCCCCTGCTTCCTATCTTGAACCAGTTCCCCTTCTCCGCCTCACTCAGAGCACCCAGCAAAGCCCCTGCCCGGACGAGGGCCACAAAACCACCGCTTGCTGAACGTGCATCTCCTTGCGTTCACTACCACGTTGTCCAGCACCCACAGCTCTGGGATAAGATGCCCGCGTCTCTCCTTTTCTGTCCTGAGCACACAGTGCCTGTTTCACAGGAGATGCTAGACTTGATTCTTGTGTTAGGAAGTCCCTGGGAAAAGAGATTAATTAGGCTAGCCAGCGAAAGAAAGGAAAATAGGAGTGTCGCTTCATGGAGGAAAATGAGCAGCCTTCAGGGCAGACCAGGTGATCCTGTAAACCTCAGTGGGCAAAAACAGCATCCCTGGTGGGCCGGAGGAGTACTCTGATCACTCAGATGACTGTCTAGACCAGTGGTTCTCAATCTGTGGGTCCCGACCCCTTTGGGGGTCACATACCAACAGCTATCCTGCATGTCAGATATTTACATTATAATTCCTAACAGTAGCAAAATTACAGTTATGAAGTAGCGACAGAAATAATTTTATGGTTGGGGTGGGGGTCACCACAACATGAAGAACTGTATTAAAGGGTCACAACAGGAGGAAGGCTGAGAACCCCTGCTCCAGACAGATGGAGCAGCCATGTTGAATGGAGTCACCTTGCTGTAGAGGGTGGGAGACCTTAGAGAAGGTGGGTCTTGAGCAGCAGTTACGTGATTTGCTAGAGAAAGCACGTGCTTCTGTCCTCTCCAAGCCCTAGGTGATCAGCGATGGCAATCCCCCCCCCCATGATCTTGCCTGGTGGTAACCTGTAAGACGCAGGCTGGAGTGTGGAACTCTCAGAGAGGTCCCTCCTGGCCCTGCTGGGAGAAGCCACCGCAGGGCCTCTGTCTTATCATCAGGTGAATCTGTCAGCCACTGCAACAAGCTCTGGGCCTGTTCTTGCTCTCCTCCCAGTGGTGGGGTGGGGCTGGCAGAGGAAATCACCAGGTGTGGCCAGGGGAAAGTCCCACCAACATTCTAAAGAAGCATGGAATTTCCTGGTTTTAACCACTTAGCCAACTGTCCACTCAGAGCTGACCAGAGCAGCACATATATCGCCCCCCCCCCCCAGCTTCCCAAGATATTTGGGGCACTGGGTGATGGCTGAGAACGTGGCACATTGTGAGCAAATTACTAAAGGTGTGTAAGATTTGGTGCCATCACATGTGGTCTGAAAAACACTTCCCAGTACCCCCCACCCCCCCTACCCCACCCCACCCCCGAGTTTACCAGATTCCCTGCCATCCGTACAAGCTACAGCCCACCTTCAGCCTGTGGTCAGAAAGCTACCCGGGGTAGGGTGCGGGGGAGGGGGGGGCAGGTTTTTGCTCTGTGTAAGGTCAGTCAGAGCAGAGGCTATGACCTGGGTGTGTGTTCTTGCAGGCTCTAAGACAAATCCTGTCGGGCTTCTGGGAGAGGCCAAGCACAGGTCCTAGGCTTTTTGAGGCAGTTTTCAACTTGGTTAACTTGTTCGACCTCTTTAGCTGACTTTAAGCTGAGCTCTGAATTGCCCTGCCAGAGATCCATGCCAGCCCGACACTCAGCAGCCTGTCACAGAAGCCCCGGCCTCAGGTCCTGGCTTCTCTGCCACTCGGACAATGGTCCAATGGCTCCCACTTGACAACTTACAGCATCCTCTTCTTTCCCTTTCCTGGTGTGGGTGGAGGTGTGTGTGGCAGCGGCTGAGCTGCCTGTCTCTTTAAGAGAGAGAGAGGAAGGGAGGAAAAGAGGTGGGGAGAGAGAGAGAGAGAGAAGTGAATCAGGAAGTATGCTAGAACTAAGAGCCTGGGCTCTACGGTTCTGGGTATCCCAGGGCTATCAGAGGGGCAGGAAAGAAACCTCAGGCCCAGGGCCATCACCACTATCTCAGCCTCTGTGTGGATCCTGGGAGTCCATGGCTACCAGGATGTACTAGTCACTGTCCACGGTTGACTTCAAAGCCTGAAATCCCTGGGGATGCCACCCAGTCCCACGAGTCTGCATTGCCCTGCATCTGAGCTGGGAGATGGGGTGAGTGTGCAGCCGCTGTGGAGGAGGGTGGCGTGGGGAGCCAAGTGGGGCAGTCTCAAGAAAACTCTCAGCCGAATGCCCCTTTCCCCTGTCTTTCTTGTGACTGCTGGGAACCTAGTAGTGTCTGCACTCCCTCTGTGTGGGGGTGGGGGGGTTGGGGGGTGGGGAACCACTCTCAGAAAGGACTGTTGGGAGGCCGGGGCAAAGGGCAAGGAGGATTATGGCCCTAAGGAGAACCACCATTGGCCAACAAGGTTCCCCTCTTGGGCTCCGCTTCCCAACCTGCTGATGCAAAGCCGGGCCTCAGCTTCAGGTGCCTCTGCCCTCCTCTGCTTGGGATCTTTTCCCTGAGGCCCAAAAGAGCCACGAGAGGCTCCCAGAGCATTTGGAAAGAGGCTGGAAAACCCCCAGTCCTGCAGGGAAGGTGACGATGATGATGGGAAAGGGTTAAAGGGCTGAGACTGGCGGCCTTTGATGGGGCTCAGAATCAGACAGCACCAGGGGGGCCTCTCATCCGCCCACCATTCTCTTTCCGGTGTAGCTCGGCTCCTGAACTCGCCCCAGCCAGAAAACAACATAACATTCACTTGCCGGGAAGAGTCTGCCTGACTCTGGGCCACTTGGAGTGCAGGTAAGTAAGTACATCTGCCACAGAAGAGCCCCCCGAGGAGGATGGGAGCCCGAGAGCAGGCTGGTGTTGACTCACTGAAGGCTACTTACTGCGCACTCTGTATAGAAAAGGGCCTGGTGGGAGACAAGAATGCAGAGGTGATCCAGATGTGCCATAGTCAGAGCTTCTGGACAGAACCCAGGGCTGTGCGGCCCATCTGGGATTCTGCTCTGTGCATCTCAAGGCCCATCCCCCGACTTCAGCTGTGTTTTGCCCTAACACCAGGGTTTGGTTGAGGACTCGACCAGCCTAGGTAGAGTCATGAAGGTGATACAACCTGGGACCCCCAGCTCCCAAGGCTAGGACCTTGACCTCCACTTTAGTGTGCCCTGCCTGAGCCTCGCATCGGGCTGACTCTGCAGCCACACAAAGAAACATGGACAACTCACTCACACTGCCTTCAGAAGGTCTCACCAGCAAGCTTGCTTTTGCATAATACAAACGTGAGTGTGTGGTCTGAAACTAGGGCGTGACTGCTGATCGCTTCAAGTGGCTCAAAAGCCCGTGTTCTCCGGGGTTTGCATCTTTAAATTAGACCACTAGCTGTAGAGTGCTTGCCTAGCATGCACGAAGCCGTGGCTTCGATCCCCGGCACCTAATTAACAGGGAATGGTGGTGCACAACTGTAATTCAAGCATTTCGGAGGTAGACGCAGAAGTTCAAAACCATCCTCATTACCACTGGAGGTACCTGAGCTGGCTACTCTGTCTTTAAAAAAAAATACAGACAGAATGGGCTCAAAATTGAGCCATCTTTGGTTTGAAACCCAGTGAGATGCTGGAGCAGGAAGAGGCCCTGCCCAAAACAACTTTATGTCAAAACCTTGAAGGGGCGGGGCCCTTCTTGCGCTCCTCCCCCGAGGCATCCCAGGACCCTATTTTACAGATAGGCGGTGAGTGTGACCAGTTGCTTTAGAGGAACCGGCTTTTGGGGGGAAGAGGATGAAGAGTAAAGATGGGGAGCAGAGTTGTGGGCAGTTTCAGATCTTCCCCAGAGCTCTTGGGCCCTGGTGTGCGACAGTCTTCCATCTGCCCACACTCTCCTCCATCACCTCGCCTCCCTCTATCCCTCCCATCCTTTCTTCTCCGCTATCTCCCCTACAGCCCTTTTCCTGCAGGGAAAGCGCTGGGCAAGGCCTAGCTGCCTGGGGAGCAACTGTTAAACTCCCAACAGTAGGAAGTTGGGGCCACGCAAGCAGAGATGGGGGGCGGGGCAGGGGCTCCAGGCTCATGTTGCAATCCTGGAGATTTGTGGTGATCTGACTGCCTCTGCCTGACCCGGGCTGACCCAGGGCTCTTCCTCCCGCACTGTGTCTGCTTCCTGGGACAATCCCAGGCCTGGCTACCAAAACTCTGAGTCCCCAGTGCCCATAAGAGGTGATAGAGAAAGTCCCCCTAGACTGGCCTACCTCTGAAGGGTGCTGGAAGGGACTGGGGGCACAGCACAGCTAGAAGCCCCCATGGGTATAACAGATGCAAGCTTGGGGCCCAGAAGGGCCCTCCTGCTGTCTTGTGTTTCTTTGGGGAGAACTTACTTAATCTTCCTGTACCACCATTTCCCCAGGTCCCGTGCCTGTGCCGTGGCCACACTGAGCCCTTGTGGGGTGGTCTTGGGAGCTGATGGCTGACTATCAGTTATCTGTGGCAGATGAGGCATGGGACCTTGGGGTCCCCACATGGCTGTTTGTTTGTTTTCCCAGGTGGAAGGGAGCCAAGCTTGGGAGATGCAGAGCACAGCTAATTACCTATGGCACACGGATGACCTGCTGGGACAGGGGGCCACTGCCAGCGTGTACAAGGCCCGAAACAAGGTAATAGCAACTCAGGACGCCTTCATGCCCTAGAACTAGCCCCCCATTTGGGCATTAGGATTCTATGTAGCTGGACAAGGGTCCCAGGACTCTGTTCTGTCTCCTCTGATGAGAAAGGACTCCATAGGTTTGGGCTGACGAATGGCATCCTGGAAAATTCCTTGGAATGGTGCCTCTGTCAGAGACATGTTGGGACTAGAGGACAAGGAAGAAGGGAGGTGACAGTCCGTGGGTTCTAGGAATAGCTGGGCTCCCAGCTGGGCCGGGAGGTTGGGCCAGGAGGTTGGGCCAGTCTGGGTTTGTCCCACAGTAGCCACAGAGCTGTGTCAGAACGCGCTCCGTGCTCGGGAACTGGAGGCAGGGTAGACTGCCTAGGCAAAATGAGCGGTAACGCAAGCCATCCGCTGTGGGACGTCAGGTGTGTCACCTCCAAGTGCTGCTCCAGCCCCCCTGGGTGGGGGAAGGGGCGGCAGATGCGAGCCCACCCGGCCCCCGCCTCTCTCGTTTGGGCCTGGGTTGGGGAAGAGGCTAAAGGCGAAGGGGGCGGCTCCCTGGACCAGTGTGGTCCCCATGTTGATTGCCAACCCTGTGCCCACACGCCAGAAATCTGGGGAGGTGGTTGCTGTGAAGGTCTTCAACTCAGCCAGCTACCGGCGGCCCCTCGAGGTGCAAGTGAGAGAGTTTGAGGTGCTGCGGAAGCTGGATCACCAGAATGTCGTCAAGCTCTTCGCTGTGGAGGAAACGGTGCGTCCTCCGCTTCGTCAGCCAAGGATGCTCTTGATCCTGACCTTTGCGGTCCAGCGGTTGGGGGGAAGGGGGCTGGGGGAGGGGATGGTAAGGAACCCGTGGTGTGGGACCACACAGCGACGTCATTAGGAAAGGAAAGGGGGACTCGGTGCCTAATCAGAGGGGGTGTCTCGGGAAAGGTAACCTTAGGTTCCTGTGTCTGAGATGGGTTTGAGGCACAGTAAGAAGGAGGGCTGTGAGCTCTTAGGTAAGCAACCCCCCGACAGGCAGAAGTCGGAAGTACCCTCCTCCCCAAGCTTCCTTCCGTCCGGCACACAGGGAGGCAGCCGGCAGAAGGTGATAGTGATGGAGTACTGCTCCAGTGGGAGCCTGCTGAGTGTGCTGGAGGACCCTGAGAACACCTTTGGGCTTCCCGAGGAGGAGTTCCTGGTGGTACTGCGCTGTGTGGGTGAGCCATGCCCCGTTCCCCCGCCTAGGCCCCCTACAAAGTCCAGGATGAGTGTGATACCCTGAAACAGGCATCCCAGCCGGCCTGAGGCAGAGGGGTGGGCCAGAAGGACCCACGTGACTGATCCAGCTCAAAGCTGCAGGAAGAAAATTCTAAAAAGCGGGTTGGCTGGTCTTGAAGGTAGCATTATTCCCAATAGTCAACAGGCCAGGCGAGACAGCCTGACGGGATTAGGTGCCTGCAGGCAGCAGAAGGAATTCTAACTTGATCTCAAGGCAGTGTGCTGAGGAATGAGCTAGCCATACAAAGGCAAAAACCACACTTCACCTACAGAGTGGGGCGTGCTGTTTAATAGGTGTAGAACTTCATTCGGGAGGAGGAGAAGGTTCTGCAGGGGAGTGTTGGTGACGTTTGCACATAATATTAATGTGCTTAAAGCCACTGAGCTGTGTGCTTAAAAGCAGTTCAACTGAAGGGCCTGGTTGATTATGCCCCACACAGGGGAGGCTGAGGCAGGCTGACCAGGAATTCCAGGGCAGCCTGGGCTACATAGTGAAATATATCGAAAAAGAAAATTTTAAATGATAAATTTTGTTAGGTATATGTTACCACAGATAAATAATAAGATGGAAAAGGTGTGCCCTGGGCTCCCCACAAAACCCAAATGAGTCAATATTGTGATGTCTTTGGGACCCTTTTCACTTATTAAAAAAAAAGATAATTTAATGTGCATGAGTGTTTTGCCTACATGAATGTATGTGCGCCATGTGTGTGCCTGGTACCCTTGAAGGTCGGACGAGGGTTTCAGACCCCCTGGACCTGGGGTTACAGATGGTTGTGAACCACCATGGGTGCTGGGAACTGAACTCTGGTCCTCAGGAAGAGAGGCAAGCGCTTACCCAAACCTTCCCTGCAGCCCCCTTAAAAGTTTATTAAACTATTTTTATTAAATTATTTTTACTTGCTGTGTATGGGTGTTTTGCCTGCACATGTCTGTGCGCCGCAGCCATGACCAGTGCCTGCAGAGGCCAGAAGAGGGCGCTGGATCTCCTGGAACTGGAGTTCTAGTTGTGAGCTGACCCGTGGGGTGCTGGGAATTGAACCAGGGTCACTTGAAAGAACAGCCAGTGCTCTTTTTTTTTTTCTTTCTGGTTTTTTGAGTAGTTTTGGTGCCTGTCCTGGATCTCACTCTGTAGACCAGGCTGGCCTCGAACTCACAGAGATCCACCTGCCTCTGCCTCCCCAGTGCTGGGACTAAAGGCATGCCCTGCCGCTGCCCGGCTCAGCCAGTGCTCTTAACCAGTGATCCATCTCTCTGGCTTGGAACGCCCTTTCCTAGCCCTGTGGGCTTCCCTGTTCTCCAGTGCTTCCTGTGCCCCTGAGTTCCCTGTGGGAACTCCCTGTCTATTTGGATTCAAGGACAGACTCTTCATCACAACAAACCTCAGACATTAGACTGACAGGTCCCTGGCTGGAGCCAAGCTGGTAGTGCTCTGTCTGTCCCCAGTGGCTGGCATGAACCACCTTCGGGAGAACGGCATCGTCCACCGCGACATCAAGCCTGGGAACATCATGCGCCTGGTGGGGGAGGAGGGGCAGAGCATCTATAAACTGTCTGACTTTGGGGCTGCCCGGAAGCTGGACGACGATGAGAAGTTCGTTTCTGTCTACGGTACAGAGGAATACCTGGTAAGTGACATGTTGGAGACGCTCTGCCGATAGCCCCTTGCTGGGTGCCGCCCTGAGTCCCCTAGGAAGTGCCCACACTGGCCCTCCATGGCTACTCTCTACCTTTCTCCCTTAGCACCCTGACATGTATGAGCGGGCGGTGCTTCGCAAACCCCAGCAAAAGGCGTTCGGGGTGACTGTGGATCTCTGGAGTATTGGGGTGACCCTGTACCATGCAGCCACCGGTAGTCTGCCCTTCATCCCCTTTGGCGGGCCCCGGCGCAACAAGGAGATCATGTACGGTGGGCGATGGAGCAGGGAATGAAGGGGACAGACCCTGGACTTCTCCCTGGCCGACACCTGGCCCTTCCCACTGGGTCCTGCTGTGTCTCTTACCCCCTGTCCCTGCCTTGACTCTAGAACCACTGCTAATCAAGCCACAGCCTTTCACCCGTGGCTTGGTAGAGAACACTCACAGACCTTTGTGTTAATTCAGTGTCCCCCCGGGCCAGCCAAGGAAGCTTACAAGGTTACCCACCCTGCCCGGGCGAAGGTGGAGCTGGTACCCAGGTCCAGGGGCTTCCTGGTGTCTTTCGGTGACCCATAGGAGGAGCTGAAAACAGGGGGCTGCCAGGATGGATGGCCCAGAGCAAAAGAGGTGTGGGGTCAAACCACTGAAGTAAGGGGCCCTGCAATACAAAGATCTGCTGAGCTATTGTTACTGATACCATGTAGGAAAAAAAGGACCCACGTCTCGGGACAAGTTCCCAAGGTTCTAGCTGGAGGGCAGCTGGGAAAACATCTGCTGGACCTAGCGCCAAGAGCTCTTACAAATAAACATTGGGGAAGGACAGCAGAAGTCTACGTTGGCTGTAGGTAGTGGGCAGTTGAGAGGAGAGGACTGTGGGGCTGCAGGGTAGTCCGTAAGAAGTGCTTCCGACGGCACTGATGGCAGCTAACGGTCTGCAGAGGTACAGAGAGGCAGAGCATGATGGTCTTGGAGGTCAGAAGTGCTGCGGTCTACGTTCAGCATTCAGCCTATGTTCTGGGATGTGAAACCGTTCTTGGTTGGCTTCCTTAGGGCTGGTCAAGGGTCAACTTCTCTTCCCTTCTCCACCTGGGAGTAAATGGAAGACCTCTCAGGGTGTTCCTCTTCTCGGTGTGTCATCGGGAAGGTTGGTGCTTGCACCCTTGGTCCTGGGGCAAGCTGTGGGGAACCAATATTAGGTTTGGGGTCAAGGGGGGAAGTTGAAGTGGAATGGGCTGTCAGGGAAGGATAGATTGGGGGGGCAGAGAGTGGGCACTGAGCTCAGCGTGGCACAGACGTGGAGGTGGCTGGCCTGGGTATAGCCACAGTGACAGTGAAAAGGACTCTGACGAAACCAAGGAGCTTGGCTGGGCAGAGGTGATCTCACAGGTAGAGCCAGGATGCCCCAAATCCATTTTCCAGCCTACCTCCCAGTGGCTGGGTGACGTGGACTGTGCTCTGTTTGGAGTTTGTTTCTTAAAGTACGGTGAATGAGAGGGAAAGGATGATGGATGATGGGTGGTGGGGAGGGAAGTTTCTAGTGGCCTAAATCTGCCCCACTATAGGCACAGAATCACCACAGAGAAGCCAGCCGGGGCCATTTCAGGGATTCAGAGGCAGGAAAATGGGCCGCTGGAGTGGAGCTATAGCCTGCCCATCACCTGCAGACTGTCCATGTAAGTGAGAGGGTTCTCTATGGAATCTAAGCTAGGGATCGCTTCTCTCTCTGTTGAGTCAAAACTTCCAGGCTATATCCACAGAGCCCCGGGGCCCTCCACTTTCCTTCTGTAGCCTGGGAGGTTCCGTTTGGATGCTCGGGTCCTAGCTCTGACAATCTTCATGTCTTGTGTGTGTGTGTGTAGGGGGCTGCAGAGCCAGCTGGTACCCATCCTGGCCAACATCCTGGAGGTAGAGCAGGCTAAGTGCTGGGGCTTTGATCAGTTCTTTGCAGAGACCAGTGACATCCTGCAGCGAATCGTCATCCACGTCTTCTCCCTGCCCCAGGCGGTCTTACATCACATCTACATCCACGCCCACAACACGT